CCGCGTAGTTCTCGCCACCGTTGTGGCCCTTTGTTCCGCCTGTCCTGTCAGGTTGGCCTGTCGCCTGACTACCTTGACGGCGCGCAGCTGCCTGCGTCGGTCGCGATCAAAAAAAGTATCCCCACCAATACATCCAGACACGATCGGAGGCTTTCTTGAGGCCTCTTAGAGGCCATCGTGAGCTATGCTCGGACAGAGGCTGTCAGAGGCTGTCCTGAGCCATTCTTGACAAAATGTGACCGGCCTGTGGCTCTCTTGAGGCCTCTTGGAGGTCTGTCGGAGGCTATTTTGAGCCACGCTCGACCTCTTGGGAGCATTTCGGGGGTAGGAGGAGGAAAAGGAGGAAAAGGAGGAAGAGGAAGAGGAGGAGGAGGAGGAAAACGAGAGAAGGAGAAGGAGGGGGATGGGGGGGAAGAAGACGAGGAGGAGGAGGAAGAGGAGGAGGAGGAGGAGGAGGAGGAGGAGGAGGAGGAGGGGAAGGAAAGGGAGGAGGAGGATGATGATGAGGAGGAGGACGAGGAGGAGGAGGAAGAGGAGGAGGAGGAAAAGGAGAGGAAGGAGGAATGCGGCACGAGGAAGATGCTGATGATGATGATGATGACGATGATGATGATACTGTTGCTGATGATGATGGTGATGATGATGAGGATGATGAGGATGAGGATGCGGACGGTGATGATGATGATGGAGAAGAAGAGGAGGAGGGGGAAGAGGAGGAGGAGGAGGAGAAAGAAGCAGGAAAGAAGGAGGGATCGAACGGACAATGACAAGGAGTCGGGCGTTGGAGGTATGTTGTTGTGAGAGGCTCTAGAAGGGCGACGAATGCCATCTTAGGAGCTTTTTTGGGGCCCCCGGGGCACTCTTGGGGCTCATTTTTGGTGTTTTGGGGCCCTTTTGGGGTTTCTTGGAGGGGTCAGGGGGTCTTTCGGGGCCCCATGGCTCAAAAAGGGGGAGGGATTTTTTTCAGTCCGCCCCCCCCCGGGCTCAAAAAAAAACGTAGTGTGGCCATCTTGGGCCGCTCTTGGAGAGCTCTTGGTCGCTCTTGGGGCCCTTTTGGGGCCCTCTTGGGCCTCTCTTGGGGCTCTGTTGGGCCGTTTTGGGGTCATCTTGAGGCGTCATAAGCCCATGGGAAGCGAAAGGGGGAGAAAGCAAAAATCATGAATTTCCCCATGTGTTGAAGGAGTTTGGCCTCTCGGAGGGGTCCTTGGAGGGCTCGGAGGGCGCTTGAAACCGTCTTGGAGCCGTCTGGAGGCCTCTTGGAGGATGTGTGTCGGAGGCTATCTTAAGCTGTCTCCAGGTGTCTTCAGCCATCTTGGAGGCCGTCTTGGGCTCCCTGAGGCCCTCTTGCAGCCATCTTGGGCCATTTTGGGCGCTCGAACTACCGGCGCCCCCCACCTCCCAGGCCCAGGGGAGGGGGGAGGGGGAGGGGTCGAGCTACCCACCCGCCCGCAAACCGTTTTGCTCACTCCCACCCGCCCTCCCAACACATAAGCAACACCCGAGCCTCAGCATGCAGCGGTCGTCTTTGGATGGACAGCTCCTGCGAACCAAAACCGAGCCCGTGCGCGCGACGCTGGGGCGAGGTGCGCCACGCGTGGCAGGCGCGCCACGCGCGCCAGGCACCCCTGGGGCCCGAGCGTGCCAGGCACGCCTGGTGCGCCAGATGCCCCACGTGCCACCTCCGCGTGTGCCAGGTGTGCCGCATATTCCAGCCGCGTCAGGTGCGCCACGTTCGGGGCACGCGCAGAGTATGTCAGGTACGCCTGCGCACGTAACAGCATACATATGGAGACATGTCGACCCCACCATCCTTTTTCGAAAAACCCATGTCCAATGCCCATCATTGTGTCTGGTGGGCCTGCGCACAGCAGGCCATACGCCACTATCCCCGTCGTCCCTGTCAAAAACCAGTTGACAGTGATCGCGGGGTGGCCGCGCATGATACAGATTTAGGAAAGAGCGCGTTCTGTTGTCGCTTGGAGGGGGGGGGGGGGAACCGGGAGCCCCCCTTCCCCCCCCCCTCCTCCCCTGCTTCCCCTCTCCTCGGGCTGGCGCTTGCGTCGGCGGCGGCTGGCGGCGGTGGCGGGGACGACGATTTCCTTTTTTGGGCCGGCGCCGGCGCCTGCGTCGGCGGGCGGCGGCGGCGGATGGCGTCGACGAGGATGACGGTGGTGGTGGTGGTGGTGGTGGTGGGTTGTGGTGGTGGTGGTGGTGGCGGCGGTGGTGGTTGTGGTTGTGGTGGTGGTGTGGTGGTTTGTTGTTGTGATGGTGGTGGTATGTGGTGGTTGTGGTGGTGGGAGGTGGTGGTGGCGGTGGTGGTGGTGGTGGTTTGGTGGTGGTGGTGGTGGTGGTTTGGTGGTGGTGTGGTGGTGATTTGTGGTGGTGGTGGTGGTGGTGGTGGTGGTGGTGGGTTCTGGTGGTGGTGGTGGTGGTGGTTTGGTGGTGGTGTGGTCGAGGTTTGTGGTGGTGGTGGGGGTTGTGGGTTGTGATGGCGGCGGTGGTTTGTGGAGGTGGTGCTGGTGGTGGTGTTGGTGGTGGCGGTGGTGGTGGTGGTTGTGTGGTGGTTTGTGGTGGTGGTGGTGGGTTGTGCTGCTGGTAGTGGTGCTGGTTGTGGCGGTGGTGGCAGTGGTGTGGTAGATTGTGGTGGCGGTAGTGGTGGTGTGTTTTTGTGGTGATGTTGGTGGTGATGGTGAGTCGTGGTGGTGGTGGTCGTGGTGTGGTGGTGGTGGTGTGGTGGTGGTTTGTGGTGGTGGTGGTGGTGGTGGTGGTGGTGGTGGTGGGTTGTGCTGGTGGCGGTGGTTTGTGGAGGTGGTGCTGGTGGTGGTGGTGGCGGTGGTGGTGGTGGTGATGGTGTGGTGGTTTGTGGTGGTGGCGGTGGGTTGTGCTGCTGGTAGTGGTGGTGGTTGTGGCGGTGGTGGTGGTGGTGGTGGTGGTGGTGGTGGTGGTGGTGGTGGGGGTGGAGGTGATGGTGGGTGGTGGTGGTGGTGGTGGTGGTGGTAGTGATGGTGGGTTTTTGTGGTGGTCATGGTGGTGATGGTGAGTTGTGGTGGTGGTGGTTGTGGTGGTAGTGGTGGCTGTGGTGGTGGAGGTGGTGGTTGCGTGGTGGGTTGCTTGTGGTGGTGGTGGTCGGTTGAGGCGGTGGTGGTGGTGGTGGTGGTGGTGGTGGTGGTGGTGGTGGTGGTGGTGGTGGTGGTAGTGGTGGTAGTCGTCGCTGCGTCCCCGCCGTCGCCGGCGCCAGCGCCGGCGCTGCTGGCCGCCGCCAGCGCCAGCGCCGGCGCCAGGGGGAGGGCGGGGGGGGGTTGGACCCCCCCTCCCCGTCGGCGTTTGGGCTGCCTCTGGTCATCGTCGCTGCGTCCCCGCCGTCGGCGCTGCTGGTGGCCGCCTGCGCGGGCGCCGGCGCCAGCGCCGAGGGGGGGGGGTGGGTTTGACCCTCCCCCCTCCCCCTTTTGGGAGGGGGGGCGGGGGGGGGTTCGCGAGGGAGGGACGTTTACAAGGAGGGGAGTCCCCTTGGTTTTGATGGACGGCGCCGAGTGTTGGGAGGGGGCCCATCCCCCAGTTCAAAACGCGCCGCCGAATGTCCCCAAAGCAAGCGCCCGAAAAACGCGCTCTCTCAGATTTAGCCGCGAGGTCGCCTGGGGGAGGGGGTGTATGTTAACAGGGAGCAGTGATCAAGACAGCCTCCTAGATAGCAAGGAGTCCAGCTCACTCCCACGCGCCCTCCCGACCCATACGTGACACCCGAGCCTCAGCATGTTCAGCGGTCGTCTTTGGATGGGCAGCTACTGGGAACCAAAACCGAGCCCGTGCGCGCGACGCTGGGGCGAGGTGCGCCACACGTGCCAGGCGCGCCACGCGCGCCAGGCACCCCTGGGGCCCGAGCGTGCCAGGCACGCCTGGTGCGCCAAATGCCCCACGTGCCTCCGCGTGCGCCAGGTGTGCCGCATACTCCAGTTGCGCCAGGTGCGCCACGTTCGGGGCATGTGCAGGGAGTGCCAGGTGCGCCTGCGCACGTGACAGCACACATCGGGTGACATGTCGACCCCACTATCCTTTTTGAAAATCAATGCCCATCATTGTGTCTGGTGGGCCGGCGCACAGCAGGCCATACGCCACCGCCGCCGCCGTCCCTGTCAGAAACCACTTGACAGTGATCGCGGGGTGGCCGCGCATGATACAGATTTAGCCGCGAGGTGCATGTTGTATTGTTTTTTTGGTCAGGGATTGTAGCCCTGCGCGCAGCACGCAATATGCTGACACCCCCGCCGTCCCTGACAAAAAACATACAAGATGCCCGCGGGCCTCACGAACATCACTCCAGACTTTGCCCCAAAGTGTATTTTGTATTGTTTTTGACAGGGACGGTGGGGGGGGCGCATCGGGTTGGTTGCGCATGCTCCGAATTTAGAGGCAGAGTGTGTGTGTGTGTGTGTTCGTTTTGTTTTTTGACAAGAACGGCTTGGGGTGTCCTCATGGGCTCCTCATTGTTCCTGGTTAACTGCTGGTCGCCTGGGGGAGGGGGTGTATATTATTTGGCGACAGTGGGAAACCCTTCCGCCGAGCAGGAAAAAGAGAAGTTTGGCACAGAGAGAAAAACAGAGAAAACAAAGTTGATTAAACCACCTACTTCCGCCCAGAGGGCTGGTGGGACTTAGAGGTTCTCCTTCCAAGAAGCCCCCAGGAGGCCCCCTACAGGCTCCCTGAGAGCCCCCCAGAGCCCCCAAGGGGCTTCCAAGAGGCCTTCCGGGAGGTCCCCAAGACGTCCCAGGAGGCCTTCAGGCCCCAGCGTCGCCACGGAATGATTCACTGGCGTGCGGGTTTTCCCCACGGGGAGCGTCGTGCTCCCGCTCTGCGGGCTCAAGAAGGAGCAGTGGTAAGCCCTCTCCTCGAAGACGGGGTCCCGCTAGACCACTTACGCCAAGAGGGCTGGTGGTATTCGAGCGAGTACGACCTAGGGCTTTCCAATATGGAACACCTCCCTGTGCTCTTACCGCACCGCCCAGGCGCGAGCAGCAACGCTGGCAGCGACGCCAGCAGCAACGCCAGCAGCAACGCCAGCAGCAACGCCAGCAGCAACGCCAGCAAACCAAGCCCCACGATCGACGCCATCATCAAGGATGCCGTTGGCGCTGGAAGCAGTGCCAGCACCGACGCCAGCAGCGACGCCAGCCGCAGCACCAGCAGCAACGCCAGCAACAACGCCAGCAGCCGCTCCAAGATCGACGCCATCACGGACACCGTTGGCGGCGCCGGAACCAGTGCCAGTAGCAACGCCAGCAGCGACGCCAGCAGCAACGCCAGCAGCAACGCCAGCAGCAACGCCAGCAGCCGCTCCAAGATCGACGCCATCACGGACACCGTTGGCGGCGCCGGAACCAGTGCCAGTAGCAACGCCAGCAGCGACGTTAGTAGCAACGCCAGCAGCAACGCCAGCCAAGACCCCTCCAAGATCGACGCCATCAAGGACACAGTTGGCGCCAGAAGCAGTGCCAGCACCAAGGCCAGCAGCACGCGAGCACCAACTCTAGCAGCGAAGTCAGCTCCCCTTGGCATCGACGCCATCATCAATGACACCATCAAACAAAGCATCGAGGCCAGCAAAAAGGCCAGGAACGCCCAGAACCCCGATAAAGCCAGCAGCAACGCCAGCAACAACGTCAGTAGCAACGCTGTCAGCGACGCCAGCGGCAACGCCAGCAGCGACGCCAGCAGCAATGCCAGCAGCAACGCCAGCAAACCGAGCTCCACGATCGACGCCATCATCAAGGATGCCAATGGCGCTGGAAGCAGTGCCAGCACTGACGCCAGCAGCGACGTCAGCCGCAGCGCCATCCGCAACGCAAGCAAACCAAGCTCCAAGATCGACGCTATCATTAAGGACACCGTTGGCGCCAGCAGCAATGCCAGCAGCAAGGCCAGCAAACTAAGCTCCAAGATCGACGCCATCATCAAGGATGCCTTTGGCGCTGGGAGCAGTGCCAGCACCGAAGCCAGTAGCGACGCCAGCCGCAGCGCCAGCAGCAATGCCAGCAGCAAGGCCAGCAAACTAAGCTCCAAGATCGACGCCATCATCAAGGATGCCGTTGGCGCTGGAAGCAGTGCCAGCACCGACGCCAGCAGCGACGCCAGCCGCAGCAACAGCAGCGACGCCAGCGGCAACGCCAGCAGCAACGCCAGCAAACCAAGCCCCACGATCGACGCCATCATCAAGGATGCCGTTGGCGCTGGAAGCAGTGCCAGCACCGACGCCAGTAGCGACGCCAGCCGCAGCACCAGCAGCAATGCCAGCAGCAAGGCCAGCAAACCAAGCTCCAAGATCGACGCCGTCATCAAGGATGCCGTTGGCGCTGGAAACAGTGCCAGCACCGACGCCAGCAGTGACGCCAGCAGCAATGTCAGCAGCAACGCATCGATACCGATCTCATGGTCGCCCGCCCCGACGGCAGCACCGACGGACGCATCGACGAACGTCCCGGCGAATGGCTCGACGATCTCGTGGTCGCCCGCCCCGACGCCCGCACCGACGGACACAGCGACGGACGTATCCGCTCCAGCCCCAGCGGTCGTGACGGACGCGTCCACGCCCACCCCGGCCACCGCCTCGACGATCTCGTGGTCGCCCGCCCCGACGCTCGCCCCGACGGACGCACCGACGAACGCTCCGGCGGACGCCCGCACCGACCAGCGCGCCGACGTCTCGTCGGTCCCGCTGGTGCGGCGGGAGCGCCCGCCCAGCCCGGCGGCGGAAGGTCGTCCCCGCACGGACACGGCCTCGTCCCGCGCTGGTGCGGTGGCACCGCACGACCCTTTTGCGGCAGGAGCCGGGGGAGGGGGGGGAGAGGGGAAGAGGGAGAGTGGGCAGGGGATGCGGGGAGGGGAGGAGGAGGAGGCATGGAGGCATGGAGGCACTCAGGAGGAGGAGGAGGAGGAGGAGGAGGAGGAGGAGGACGAGGAGGAGGAGGAGGAGGAGGGAGGAGGACGAGGAGGAGGAGGAGGAGGAGGAGGAGGAGGAGGAGGAGGAGGGAGGAGGAGGGAGGAGAGAGGAGGGAGGAGGGAGGAGGGAGAAGGGAGGAGGGAGAAGGGAGGAGGAGGAGGAGGGAGGAGGAGGAGAAAGAAGAGGAGAAAGAGGAGGGATGATGAAGGAGTGGGAGGGTGGTGGAGAGGAGGAGGAGGAGGAGGAGGAGGAGGAGGAGGAGGCGGAGGCGGAGGATTAGAAAAAGGATGAAGAATGGAGGAGGGGGAAGGTGGTGGAGGAGGGGGAGCATGAGGAGGAGGAGCAGGAGGAGGAGGAGGAGGAGAATTATGATAATGAGGAGGAGGAGGAGGAGGACGAGATTACACCCAAGATCTGCACCCGTGGGGCTTGCCATTCTGGCGAAGGTCCCGTTTTGAAAATGAATAGCCCTGCACCCTTCCAGCGCAAAGTCGGGGATGCGAGAAAGATAGCAATACGGTTCAACGAGGTGTCCCAGTATGTGCATCTGTCGCACAGTCTTACACTTGTGATCCTGGTCCTCGAGGAAGTCTCAAGGGAGAGCTCCATCTTGAAGATGGACCGCTATCCATCCGTGCAGTGCTACTGGGTCGTGGTCGTTAAAGTACAAAGTCGAGCTGCTGCAAATGTTTAAGACGAGTGTGCGCGGCGCGGAGGCGAGAGCACCACTCTGAAAACGCCGCCCCCGTTCCATCCCTGAGTACGTGCCGAACTTGTAGACGAATGTGCACAGCGCGAAAGCCAGAGTCACATTTTGAAAAAGAACCTCCCTCCATCCTTGAAACTGTCGCAACATTTCCAGATCAATATGCGCAGCGCCCAGACGAGAGCCACATTTTGAAAACGACCCCCTTCCATCTTTGAAACTGCTGCAATATTTTGAATCGAATGTGCGTGGTGCTAGGGCGAGAACCACATTCAGAAAACCACCAGTGCTTATCCTTGTGCCTGTTGCAAGCGTTTGAAGTGGATTTGCGCGGCGCTATGGCGAGAGCCACAGTTTGCGAACCACGACCTTCCATAATTAAACATGTTGCAGATTTCAAGATTCAGGAACAAACGTTGTGAGGAAGTCTCCAGCGAAACACCCCACCCGCCCTATCTGGGGGTGCGACAAAGAGGGGTTATTCATGTGGGGAGGGGTGGAGGAGGCGGGAGGAGCAGCGAGGGAGAAACATGGGCTTGGGATGTGGCAAGGGAAGGTGGGGGGTGGGGGTGCAGGAGGGAGGAGGAAGAGGAGGCGGAGGAGGAGAACGAGGCGAGGAACAAGGAGGAGGAGGAGGAAAAGGAGGAGGAGGAGGAGGACAAGTGCAAACCCAAGACGCATCAACGATGTTGCACCAAACCCTCCCTCCAAGCTCCCTCTTCATTGGTCCCTACAACAATTTGTTTTCACTGCGGGAAGTGCCCCATTGAAAGACAACCTTCTGAGAATCTTGAACCGTGCCAAGACACCACCCCTGGGACTTCAACGCCGCGAATCAACGTGACTGTTGCGTTCGGACAATCTTGAATCGTGACTTCGACCTTACGAATTGTTCAACTTGTTGCACACGTCTAAAGCGAATGCGCGTGGCGCTAAGGCGAGACCGTGACAAGGAATCGCGCTGCGATTTGAATCTGCTGCAAGCTTTTAAAACGAATGCGCGCGGCGCTTGGCCGAGAGCCACATGTTTAAATGGACTGGCCCTCCATCCTTCAAGCTGCTGCAAACTCCGAAGATGAACGTGCGCGGCGCCAGGGCGAGAGCCACATCTTGAAAAGGACCCGCCCTCCACCCTTGAAGCTGCGGCAGATTTTGAAGACGACTGTGAGCGGCGCCCAGGCGAGATGGACAATTTGAACAGGACCCGCCCTCCATCCCTGAAGCTCCTGCAGACGTTTCGAACGAATGTGCGCGGCGCCAGGGCGAGAACCACATTTTGAAAAAGGACCCGCCCCCCGTGCTTGACACTTCTGCAGATCCTTGGGCTTTGGCCACACCGCCGACCCCTTGGGGAACGGCCGGTCGTAGCGCGTTGCTTCTGAGGGCTTCCTAGGCACCTTTCGGGGGCTTCTTGGTGCGCTTTTGGGCGCTGCATGGGGGCCTTGGGGGGGCCTCTTGAAGCTTCTTGGAGGCCGTCTATGGGCCTATGTGGGGGTCCTCCTTGTTTGTTTAGGTGCCTTCTTGGAAGCCTCTGGGGCCGTCTGGGGGGATCTTGGGAGCCTCCTGGGCCGTCGTGGAGCGTCGGGAAACAGAAAAGGCGAGAACGCTCAAATCGTTCAAAAACGGATCGAAAATCAATGAATGTTGCCTCGTGGCGCCCTCTTGGGAGGGTTCTTGTAGGTCTCTGGGGGCGCGTTGGGGGCGTCTTGGGCCGTCTGGAGGCTACTTGAGCGTCCTGGAGGCGCTTTCGGCGACTGGAGGCCCTCTTGGACTGTCTTGGGGGCCTCTCGGGGCCCTCTTGGCTCGTTGTGGGGGCCTCTATCCTCCCATGATGCGTTGGGGCCATGCCCGTGGGATCCGGGCAGACCCCTCTCCCTCCAAACCGACCGGACCAGGGTATGGGGGGAGAGGTCGGGGGAGGGGCACGCATCTCACACGCTGAGGACACTCCAGGGGTCGGGGGATTGTGCCGCCACGTCCACATTGCAGTGTTTCTTGGGAGAGGGATGGTGGGCCTGCACGCACGGGTAATATGATGCCCCCTGCCGTCGTGCAACAGACTAATACACAGTGAGGGCGGGACGCCCAGTGAGGGCGGGACGCCCGAAGATTATCCAGGTCATGTCGCAAAATGCACTTTGTCCATTGAAGATCCTGATGACTGGGGTGGTTGGGAGTTGTCTTTGACTCGGGTCGGCCGTTGGTCGAATGGGCGGCTGTCTAGGCATACGGAGCAGGGGTGATTCTTCTTCCGTAGGGGCAGAAGTGGTTTAGAAGACAGGCTCCCCTATTTCACCGATACCCAGATGTCTGGTGGGATAGTATTTACGGGCGTAATTGTTGGTTTCGTGTAGGCCGCGAGAGGGCCTTCGTCGCAGGAGTTAAATTCGACTTGAAGGTTTGGTCGGGATGATGTGCAGGAGAAGTTTGTCGGGGAGATGGTTGAAGGCGACATGAGGTGGGACGAATCTGATGGGACGAGGGTGGAGTGCCCGTGGACTAGCCTTCCGGCAATGTCGATTAGATTAGGAACGGTATTTCTCTCTGAAGTGCACGTGGGAAAGTAAGAAATCATGCCTCCGACGCACCATTGGTTGATTCTTAAGCCGTTCTGGGCGGTTCGAGTGCCGTCTCGATGCTACCTTGGATCGTCGTTGGGGTACCTTGGGCCATGTCGGCGCTGTCTTGGACTGTGTATTGGCGATCCGTTTGGTCCGTCCCGTCTCTGGCCGCTGGAGAGGCTTCGGAGGCCCTGGGGGTGCGGTTAGGAGCTTCAACCTCTCTGGGCGTCCTTCGCCCCCCACCTCCCACCATCCCCCTCCAACTGCATTTTGGACCCGAGGGGGAGGGGGGAAAGGGGGAGGGGACAGGTGCAGGACCTTCCGCCTACGATCTTCAGGAAAAGTATCCTTATCTCCGGCCTCAGACCAGCGGCGGCGGATGGCAGACGGGATCTCGTGGGAGGCGCCTCGGGGCCGTTTGGGAAGCAGTTTTGAAACGCTTGAGGGCCTCCTGGAGGTCTCTTGGAGGCCTCTTGGGAACTTTTTTTTCGGACCTCTCGGGGCTCCCTGGCAGCATGTTGGGGTTTGGGGGAGACAGCCGGGGGGCGGTTTGGGGCCGAAGGCCCGAAATTTTCGCTCGGGCTCCCCCTCAGGGCCCCCATCTTGGGGCTGTCCTAGAGCCCCTCTGGGCCATCTAGGGGGTTTCTTCAGCGGCCTTGGGGCCCTCTTGGGCCGTCCGGGAGCCCTTTTGGGGGCTTCTTGGCCGTTTTGGGACGATCCAGGAGGCTTCTTGGGCTGTCTTGAACGTTGTGAGCGTACAAAGGCGAATATGCTGAAAATGCACGTTTCCCATGGGAATGGGGCGATTGTTACTCTTTGAGGCTGTCTTGGAACGCCACTTGAGGGCTTCTTGGGGCATCTTGGGGGCCGCCTTGGGCCGTCTCGAGGCCAGCGTGGGTGTTTTCGATCGATGTTTCGGCGGCACGTGGTCCTGTTGGACCGTCCAGAGGGCCTCTTGGTGCCCTCTTGGCCTGTTTCTTGGGCTTTTTTGAGCGCTCTCGTGGCCTTGTTGGGTCGTGTGAGAGCCCTCTTGGGGGCCTCTTGGGCCGTCTTGGAGGCTGTCTTGGACGCTGTGATCGCAGAAGAGGCGAATGTGCAACAAATGCAGCTGCTCCTAAGGAAATGTGGCGATGTTCGCTATTTGAGGCCGTCTTGGGACCCATCTTGAAGACTTCTTGGAGCGTCTTTGGGGCCTCCTGGGCCGTCTGGAGGCCAACGTGGGCGTTTTCGATCGATCTTTCGGCGGCTCGTGGCCTTCTTGGACCGTCCATAGGGCCTTTTGGTGCCCTCCTGGCATGTTTTTGTATGCTTTTTGAGCGGTCTTGGGGCCCTCCTGGGTCGTCTGAGAGCCCTCTTGGGGGCGTCGTGGGCCGTCGTGGGGCGGCCCAGGAAGCTTCTTGGGCTGTCTTGGACGTTGTGATCGCAGAAGAGGCGATGGTGTAACGCATACACGTTGTCCGATGGAAATGGGGCGGTTTTTGCTCTGGCCGTCTTGGGATCCGTCTTGGGATGCCTCTTGAGGGCTTCTTGGGTCGTCTTCCAGGGGCCTCCTGGGTCGTCTGGAGGCCAACGTGGGTGTTTTCGATTGATATTGCGGCGGCTCGTGGCCCCCTTGGACCGTCCAGAGGGCCTCTTGGTGCCCTCCTGGCCTGCTTTGGGGCCCTCTGCAACCCCGTGAGCGGGGCGGGGGGGGGGAGTCATGACGGAGGCCGTGGTGTCTCCCCAGATTTCACGGCTCGCTATTATTATTATTATTATTAGTATTATTAGTATTATTATTATTATTATTTTTACTGTTATTATTATAATTATTATAATTACTACTACTACTACTACTACTACTACTACTACTACTACTACTACTACTACTACTACTACTACTACTACTACTACTACTACTACTACTACTACTACTACTACTACTACTACTACTACTACTACTATTACCATTTATTATTATTATCATAAAAATATCATTATTACTATTATTATTAGCTTTATTTCATTATTAATATTATTATTAGTAGTAGTATTATTAATATTATTATTATTGTTAGTATTAGTATTATTATCATTATTATTAGTACTATTATTATTATTATTTCTAGTATTCTTATTCCTATTATTATTCCTATTCTTATAGTTATGATTATCATTCATTGTTGTTATTATTATTATTATTATGAATATTCCTCGTCCTCTTCTTCTTCACATTTGACGGGGACGCGGGGAGCGTACCCGGGGCCAACACTTGCGCGCGTGCGGCCGTAGCCATTCTTGCACAAGTCATTTGTGACGTGGGCGAGTGCGCATCCGGTTAAGTTTGTCGCGTAAGCCATGGCCGGGCCGTGGCTGGGCCTGAGGGGCACAAGGGCGAGCAGGGGGCCACGCAAAGCAACGAGAGGCGATCGGCGCACGCCCCAACTTCCGCAAGCGGGAGTAAGGAGCGCACCGTTCACCAACCCGCCGCAAGGAATAGCCCCCCGAGGGGAGGAGGAGACGCCAGCGCGGAGGAGGCGCGGGAAAGGCGAGAGGAGCGGAAGGGACGAACGACGGACGACGACGACGAACGAAGAAGACGACAGCAAAATGGAGCGTTATCCGCATAAGCGCAAAAAATGTCAACATAAAAGTTAACAGCCCGAACACGGGCGGGTGGAAGATGCGGCGAGAAAAGGGGCGGAAAAAGGAGCGTTGGCGGGACGCGCTAAGCGTCATCCTCCGCCAACTCTGCCAGCAAGCCTGGCGCGGCAGCCACGGCTCCGCCAGCCGAGGGGAGCTCCGCGTGCCTCCTCAGGACTGCTCGCGCCGTCGCCCGGCGGATCGTCACGGACAAGCGCTGGAACAGGCGTGCTGCGCCCGCCCCCAGCTCCTCGCCTCGTCTCCGATCACTGGCCCGGGCTAGCCGGCGCAGCGTGTCGGCGCCAGTCGGGCCCCATCCTCCAGAGGGCTCCGCCACGAGGGGGATGAACACGATCCCTTGATGCTGGCACTGCCGCTCTGTGTCGAGGTGGTTCCTGTTGACCAACTCGTACTCCTGCGCAGCGCGCCCCACTTCCTGGAACGCCAGGGCACGGGCGGCCTGCCTGTGCGGCGAAGACACCGCGAAGTCGAAGGCAGCAGGCGCCCCCTGGAACCAGGAGGGTATGTAGACATCCGCAGGCTGGCGCCCATTCACCTGGACGTCGTCTGGGCGGGGCGGTAGGAGGCCAGGCTGTTCGAGCGTCGGGTTGAAGCCCGCGCTGGTGGCAAAGGTGCCGATCATGTTCCTTGATGTTCCTTGCTCCGTTGTGCCGGTGGACGCGATCCCCGGCTCCCGCGCATAGGCCTGCGTGCCGCGGCGGTCGCAGACGTCCTCGCAGCAGGGGCAGAAGTGCTCAGGCTCGCACACGGGCACGAGGAGCCTGCGCTTGACCTCGCACACGAATTCCTCGGGCTCGACAAGGAGCCCCAGCTGCTCGCTGGGCTGCGCCTCGAGGAAGTCTGGAGCGCCAGGCAGCACCTCTGAAAGGATGTCAGCGCGGTTTGCGGCTCCCAAGCCCGCCAGAAAAGTCTGGTGCCCGCGCTCGTCCACCGCGGCGGAGAGCTGCTTCTGCGTGGCCCTGTCGAGCGCCGCCGGGTCGAGGCCGTCCGCGGGCGCCAGCAGGGCGTTGTGCGCCAGGAGCGCCTGCCCCTCCAGCGTAGCCGCGCTGTGCGGCGCCCGCGTGTACGCCGGGTAAAGGTCGCAGCACAAGTGCCGCGTGGCTGCGAGGCTGGCCATGTGAGCGCCGGGCGCGTGTGCAGTCAGCTCCCGCAGGCCGAGCCCCGCGTGGGCGAGCCCTCTGGCTGCCTGGTCTCAATGCGCGTCCGTCAGGTCCGCTGCGAACAGGTCCGACAGCGCGCGCCGCTGGCCGTCGTCGAAGGAGCGCAACGCTTCCGAGAGGAGGGCAGACGGCGCCGTGCGGGCGCTGTACACAAGGTTCGCGTAGCTCGCGCAGTAGCGCAGGAGGGCGAGGCCTACCTGGGGGTGTAGGTTGGCGAGCGCCTCCAGGGCGGGCTTCGTCTTGTCGGCGCGGCGCTGGGTGAACGCCTCGCAGTAGTCCTTCGCCCCAAGAGGCGCCCCCGGGAGCTTGAAGCCGCCTCGGAGGACAACGCGGTCGGCCCCCGTCTCTGCGTCCGCCAGGAGATGCACAGGGAAGAGGTCCGCCAGGCCGCCCGGCCTGCGTCCGCAGGGGACCGCGAGCTCGCATTTGCCGAGGTTGAGGAGCAGGCCCAAGTCAGGGCAGCGGCGCTGCAGCTTCGCCAGTGCTCGCGCCACCGCTTCCTTCGAGCCCGCCAGGAAGCCGTCGTTCAGGTAGAAGGCGCATAGGGGCATAGGTCCATGTCTGCAGCGCCCGCTAGTTCCTCCAACACCGCGTGCACGGCGAGGGCGAAGATCAGAAGCCCTAGCGGGCCCCTTTGTTGTTCGCCTGCTTGCGAGGACATGACATGGCTGTCAAAACACAGATTGGAGGGCTCTGCGTAAGCCCAACGCGCCGAGCGCTCCAGCTCCGGAAGCGGGCGCGGACAGCGCGCAACGCGGGGTCACGGTGCAGCGAGTTGAAAGCGTTTGCAAAGTCGAGTTTCAGCAGCACCTTGTCGTCCTCGTCTGCTTTCCGCTCGCACCACTGGCGCACGGCGTGTACGGTGGCTTCAGCCCCCAGGGGGCTGCAGCAGCCTGTCTGCAGCGGCCAGAGTACCTGGCGCGCACGACCCTTGACGTGATCGCAGACGGTTGCTGTTGCTACTGTGGCGACGGGAGTTTCGTTCGATTGCGAAAAAGGGAAAAAATTCGGCGGCGGGGAGGGCGACTGTAGCGGCAACGACGCCCCTTGCCTCTGCCGCCCCTCCCTCCCGCCTCCTCCTCCTCCTTCTCCTCCTCCTTTTCCTCCCCACCAGTCCGTGGCCATTTTGCCCCAGGCTTCCCGCTGTGGAGGAGGCGCTGCTGCGCCTGTGGCCCTCTCCCTGGTGGCCGGGCGTCGGCGCCAATCGCTGGCGCCGCCGTGGCGATTTCCATCTGGCGGGCGTCCCCCAGCAATTCGCCCGAGCAGGGGATTTCTTTTTGAGTCGGGCGCTTATTTTTTGGTGTTAATCACAGGCTTGCGTCAGTATCAACAGAGGCCCGTGCGTGCCGACGCGGCGGCACCCGTGGCGCGGGCGCGCAAGCTTGGTCCTGAGCGCCGCCAGTGCCCTGGAACTGGCCTGTGTCGAATTTCTGCTGTCGGAAAGCCGCGGTCGTTCACGGTTGAGTAATCCACGCGGTGTCAGAAGCCAGCGCCCAATTCGTTACAACACGAGCCTGCCGTAGCGTGCAGGGGCGTGGCTGTTCACCTCCGCGGCGTTTCTCTGGATAGCCTGAGGTGCGAATGGTGCACCTCAGGAGGTGCTCGGTCGCCCCTTCGACAAGGCAAAGCTCACTCTGTGACCAGGGTGCTGGACTTGGTCACCATCATCGGCAAACTCGATGTGCGAGGGGTACCAGCTGGCGATCCGAAGAGCACCTCAATGGATTCTGCATCGGGCATGCTTTGGGCGAGTGGCGCACGCTGGCTGCCAGCGACAAGCGTACTCAGTACCAGTTGGACTTTGTCGCACCGGGCGGCGTCAGCCAAGTTCGATGAGTGAGGGCGTTCTATGGGTCCCGCCCCTCGCGAGCCGTCGGGACAAGGGACTATCTTTGACCCTTGATCCCCCAGCCTCGGCAAAGTGAAGCAGCCAAGCGGGTGGGCGTTCGACAGCGTGGCTGTAGGGTCATCCGCTTTGGCTGGCGCGGGTGCACAGCGGAACTCCGCCGTGGCGTGCTTGCCCCGTTTTGACGCCGCTCGCGTCGCCCAATTGCATGTGTGTAATTCCCCCGAAGCGCTGGTGGACTGGTAGAGGACCCAACGTCGGCGCGAGGAAGTTGACACAAATTGGCAGGATGAGGAGGTCAGCATAGTCGGAGCCCCTCTTGGCATCCTCGGCCCCAGGGCGTAAACGGTTTTCCTTTGCACTAATGGCCAAGAGTCGCCGCTCGGCCGGATCGCCAGGGGCCCGCCGTCGCAACCCGCATGATCAGAACCCTCAGAGCCCCCCTCTCTATGTTCCTGTTCCTCCTGCTCATCATCATCCTGTAATTACCCTTCGTGCCCGTGCAGCTCATTATTCTCCTCTTCCTTTTCTTGATCCTCCTTTTCCTGCTCATCATCGTCATTATTTTTTTTCCTCCTCCTCCTCCTCCTCCTCCTCCTCCTCTTCCTCCCCCTCCTCCTCCTGCTCCTCCCCCCCCTCCTCTCTCTCTCTGTCTGGCCCTGCTCCCGCTGCCCGCCGAGGAGGGCAGTCGCCAGAGAGCGTCTCCAGCCACGACAGCGGCGGCAGCCCGTCCCCCACCGAGGAGGCTGCGGTGGAGGAGGGCGGGGAGGGAGAGAGGGGGAGGCAGGGTTCGGGTGGCGGAGAGGGAGACGGTACGCATTCGAAAAAGGGCCTCGCCCTCGAGGATCGAAAGGGTTGATGTCTCTTTCTCGGCGGGAGGCGGCGGAAGGCCCGCGGAAGGCGGCGGAAGCAAAACGAGGCCGCCTCCGCCGGCGGAAGCTGGCGGAGGAGGGCGGGAAGGAAAGAGTCGAACGAGCTAACGGCATAAACATGATTTCTCGGAGGCCTTCGCCGATCTCTTGGATCGGCGTTGGACCCCCTTGGCGGCGCCTCTGGCGCCGCCCCTGGGGCGCTCCGCGCGCCAGGAAGAGGGGTCCAGCGCGGATCCAAGAAGTCCGCGCGGACCTTCAGTCAAGGAACTTCCCCAATCAGAGCTTGCCTCTGTAGGGGTCCTAGCGGATTCATATGGTTAGGTTAGGTTTGTCGCCGATTTTCGCTGCACGTCTGGGTGCCCGGGTGCCCGGGGGTGCCCAGGGGTGCCCCGGGCCCGGGTGCCCGGGGGGGGGCCCGGGAGTGCCCGGGTGCCCGGGAGCCCGGGTGCCTGGGTGCCCGGGCGTGCCCAGGGGTGCCCTATAGCCCAATAGCCCTATAGCCCTACAATTCTATAGCCTTATAGATCTATAGCCCTATAGCTCAGTAGCCCTATCCGGTTTTTCTCCGGTATCATATGTTTATATGCAGATTTGTCTTTTAAAGAGGGAGGCAGGGCTTGGGGGCAGAGGGGAGGCTTTCGTCGCCATCATGAGTTTCGCCTCGAATCTCTGGTCAGAGCGCACCCCAGGAGAGTTCCAGGGGGTATCAGTACTGGTATCTTTTCGTTCCCCCAAGGGGTGAGGCAGGGAGGGAGACAGGGAGCGGTCTGCGATTGCCACGAGGGTTCGTTGGAGATGGTCGGCTTCGCGCGCGTGGCCCCGCTCAGACACCTCGAGAGCTGGAGGGTAAGGGGACGACACAGGCGCCGTTTCCCTTGGCATCGCTCAGACGTGTGCACTTTTCCTCGGCGAAGAGAATCGAGGAGCATCCTGGACCATCTTGCGAAACAAGTAACGCATGAAATAGAAACGTACACGGGGAATGGACGTTCGAGTGATGGCGAGTTCCGTTCTTGCGCAAAGCGGGTCCTCTTGGACCAGAACCTTGCGGCAGTTCCGAGATGGATGGAAGCAGGAGGCGAGGCAGGGATTGAGGAGGGAGCGTGAGGAGGGAACAGGAGGAGGAGGAGGAGGAGGAGGAGGAGGAGGAGGAGGACGAGGAGGAGGGGGCAGGGAGGAGGAGGAGAAGGAGGAGGAGGGGGAGGCGGAGGAGGGGGGGGCAGGGAGGAGGAGGAGAAGGAGGAGGAGGAGGGGAGGAGGGGGAGGAGGAGGAGGAGGGGGGGAGGAAGAGTAGGAGAATGAGGAGGAGGAGAGGAGGAGGAGGAGAAGGAGGACGCGGATGAAGAGGGGGGGGAGAAGGACGCGGAGGTGGAGGGGGGGAAGGGGGAGGAGAAGGAGAAGGAGAACGAGGGAGAAGGAGGACGAGGATGAGTACGGGGGCAGGTGGAGTAGGAGGAGAAGGAGGAAGAGAAGAGAAGAGAAGGAGGATCCCGGGCCTCCGCCACCGAGGCCGCGGCGACAGCGGCGACCCACCAGGCGGAGGGGGCGCCCGAATTGCGCCTCCCGCCCCAGGGCTCCGAGGAGGACGGGTTCGGGGCTGCGAGCAAAGCTACAGCGCGGCAGGTTCGAGGTCCTAGGTTCGAGGGTCTCCGCGGCTCTCCAGCCTCGGGATGCCTTTCAGCAGCTCGGCATCGCCGAGAGGCGTTCGGGGATGCCCAGATCGTCCCGTATGGTCGCTGGAGGCCCGAATCATGACCCCAAAACCGACGTACGCTAGGTTCGCGTCGTATCGACGCGGCGGCGTCAGACTCGGCCACTATGGAACAACCTGGCGATCGAGAAGCCGCCGATCGGTTAAGGCTGAACGATCCACGCGGTGTCAGAGAGTAATGCCGAAGTCGTCACGACACGAACTTGCCGTAGACGACGGCCTCGGGGCTGCGAGCAAAAGCTACCCCGAGGGGCGCGAAGACAGCCGCGCGTCGCCCGTCGCCGCCGATGCCGCCGAGCTGGCCTTCTCCAAGGTGACCTCGCGAGGTTGCGAGAATAACCGCGAGTCGTCCACCGCGAGCAGCTGATGGCTGTTGGGAGATCTACATGTGTACTTCAGGATGATGGTTAAGAACCAACACGCGGGGGAACGATTACTCATTAGGTGAACCACCGCTGGGGAAGCTCTGGGAGATGACGATCACACAGTTTCGATGATATCAAGACCCGCGAGCAGGCCTGGAACATACTTTCTTGTTCATCGGCCAAGGCACTGCTGCATGATGCACCCCCCAGGCATCTCTTAACCGTCTTGTTAAATTGCTATCATTGCTTCAATTCTGTTGAACATGACATGTTCGCCAGCGTGGACCCCAAGCAGTGCGTTTCTAGCAGTGGAAGTTTTGCAATCGATGTGGCGGAATACATGTGGCGCAGTCTACGTGGAGCAATATATGTTGTGCAATTGATTTCTGTTCGCAGTGAGTTGTCCACTCCACTGCTCGCGCAAACATCCCACCCACCCACCCGCAACTTAGTTTGCCAAATCTCTCTGACCGCTGTGGGCTTCCTAGCGCGTCTCGCAAGCCGCGCTGACGCGTGGGCAGTTCAATGCGAGTCGGTCGCTCCGGCGGGCGCGGTACCTTGACGACGTCGACAACGGCAGACACGATGATGATTCATTGGCTTACGCCACGCCGCCGACCTCTTGGGGCGGCAGCAATCGTCCCCCGCGTGGCCTGTCCGGACAGCCTGTGAGGCCCCTCTAGACACGTTTTGGAGTTTTCTTAGGACCGTCCTGCCGTTCCCCCGGGCCGTTGGTATAGTTTCTGGAGCCTTCGTGGGGCGCCCGGAAGCCGTCGTGGAACCTTTTTGGGAGCCTCTTCGGGTGCCAGAGGTCGATCTTGGAGGTTGATTATCTTGCACAGTTGTGCTCTAGAGCTCGAACCTTTGTTTTTTCGCGGTTCGTCGTCGTCCCCCTGGCTCTGGCTTCCCACCCTCGTCGTCGTCTCTCTGCCCCCCATCCCCTGGCCTCCGCGCCCCAACCCGGACCTCTGGCTCCTGGCCCCCTCGCCCCAGGCCTTGGCCCTGAATCCAGCCTCCCTCCTTGGCTCTGGCGCCCCCTGGCCTTGGCCCCAGCCCCCCTCGCCCCGGACCCTTTATTTTCGTGGTTCGTCGTCGTCCCCCTGGCTCTGGCCTGCTTCCCCTGGCCCCTTCGCCCCCGTGTTCCTGCCCTGGCCATGACTCTGGCGCCCCCCCTCGCCCCGGACCCTTTATTTTCGTGGTTCGTCGTCGTCCCCCTGGCTCTGGCCTGCTACCCCTGGCCCTTTCGCCCCCGTCTTCCTGCCCTGGCCCTGAACCTAGCCTCCCTCCTTGGCTCTGGCGCCCCCCCCTCGCCCCGGACCCTTTATTTTCGTGGTTCGTCGTCGTCCCCGTGGCTCTGGCCTGCTTCCCCTGGCCCCTTCGCCCCCGTGTTCCTGCCCTGGCCCTGAACCCAGCCTCCCTCCTTGGCTCTGGCGCCCCCCCTCGCTGATTTTCGTGGTTCGTCGTCGTCCCCCTGGCTTTGGCCTGCTTCCCCTGGCCCCCTCGCCCCCGTCCTCCTGCGTGGTTTGTCGCCGTCCCCCTGGCTGTGGCCCGCTTCCCCTCGCCCCCGTCCCCCTGGCTGTGGCCCGCCCTCCCTCGCCCCCTCGCCCCAACCTGGACCTCTGGCCTCTGGTCCGAGCCCCAGCCCTCTGGCGTGGCTGAACTCAGGTTGTTTCCTGGCCTTGGCCCCACTCGCCCCGACCCTGGCCTTCGCCCCGGCCCTCCTCGCCCCGGACCGTGTATTTTCGTGGTTCGAATCCGGACCTCTGGCCCTTGGTCTGAGCTTCAGTCCCCTTGCCCTGACCCTGGACCCCCACTCGCCCCGACCCTGGCCTTGGCCCCAGCCCTCCTCGCCCCAGACCCTTGATTTTCGTGGTTCCGTCCCCCTGGCTCTGGCCCCCCATCCCTTGGCCCTCTCGCCCCCCGCATGCCCCTCCTCCTTTTTCTCTCCTCAAATGTGCAAGCGCCAGGGCACGCGTGCCAGTTGTTGGGCCGTTGTGGGCCTCGTGAAATCCCCAGAAGCGAATATGTTGAAAATGTACGTTTCACATGGGAAATAGGACGGTTTTTGCTTTTTTGCTTTTGGAGGCCTGCTTGGAGCGCCTCGTGGTCGCGTATGCCAACGTCTTGGACGCCCATGGGGCTGTCTGGAGGCAATCTTGGGCGGTTTGGACCGAATCGTCCCCCGCGTGGGCCGTCCGGACAGCCTTTGGAGGCCCTTTTGCCCCTTTTGGAGCCCTCTTGGGACCGTCCTGCGGCTTTCTTGGGCCGTTGCTATGGTTTCTGGGGCCTTCGTGGATCGCCCGGACGCCGTCTTGGAGCCCTCTTGGGAGCCTCTTCGGTTGACAGGGGTCGATCTTGGAGGCTTCTTGGGCCGTTGTGGGCCTCGTGGAATCCCAAGAAGCGAAAATGTTGAACATGTACGTTTTACCTTGGAAGTAGGACGGTTTTTGCTTTTGGAGGCCTGCTTGGAGCGCCTCGTAGTCGCGTTTTCAAACGTCTTGGACACCCATGGGGCCGTCTGGCGGCGATCTTGGGCGGTTTGGACCGAATCGTCCCCCGCGCGGGCCGTCCGGACAGCCTTTGGAGGCCCTTTTGCACCGTTTTGGAGCCCTCTTGGGACCGTCCTGCGGCTTTCCTGGGCCGTTGCTATGGTCTCTGGGGTCTTCGTGGATCGCCGGAACGCCGTCTTGGAGCCTTTTTGGGAGCCTCTTGGGCTGGCGAGGGTCGATCTTGGAGGCTTCTTGGGCCGTTATGCGCCGCGTAGAGGCCGAATGGGCGAATGTGGTGAAAATGTATTTTTTACATGGGAAATAGGACGGTTTTTGCTTTGGGAGGCCTGCTTGCAGCGCCTCGTGGTCGCGTTTTCACAAGTCTTGGACACCCATGTGGCCGTCTGGCGGCGATCTTGGGCGGTTTGGGCCGAATCGTTCCCCGCGTGGGCCGTCCAGACAGCCTTTGGGGGCCTTCTTGGCCCGTTTTGGAGCCCTCTAGGGACCGTCCTGCGGCTTTCCTAAGCCGTTGCTATGGTTTCTGTGGCCTTCGTGGATCGCCCGGACGCTGTCTTGGAGCCCTCTTGGGAGCCTCTTCGGTTGACAGGGGTCGATCTTGGAGGCTTCTTGGGCCGTCATGCGCCGCGTGGAAGCCGAATGGGCGAATGTGGTGAAAATGTACGTTTTACCTAGGGCATGGGGTGATTTGTGCTTCTGGAGGGCCTCTTTGGGCCGCTTCGTAATATTGTTTCAAACGTCTTGGGGACATATGGAGCCGCGTGGAGGCAATCTTCGGCGTTTTGGGGGGATCTTTCGTCGATTCGTAGCTTTCTTGGACCGTTCCAGGAACCTTCTGAACCTTTTTTGGGCCGTTTTGGGGCCTCCTGAGGCTCCAAGTGTGCGGATGATGGATTTGCCCCCCTCCCCCCCCCCACCCAACCCTACCCCACCCCCTTTCAAACCGGCCGGACCAGGCCCCCACGGGAGGGGTTTGGGGAGGGGGAAACATTTCACACGCCGTGACCCCAAGGGGTCGGCGGATAGTAGCGATGTTGGTGACGATGATGGCGATGACGATGGCACGGCTAATGACGGCGCCGATGCTCACCTACGGTTTCGAAGGATTCCAGCATGCGCGCGCGACGCCGCGTGCGTGTGAATTTTTTTCGGGTTCGTTTTTTTTGTGTGTGTGTGTGTGTGCTTCTTTTTTTGTTTTGACATTCTCGGCTTTAATATACGATTGTGCGCGCATGATGTTATTTGTCAGAGATGATGAAGAGGGTCAGACCAGGCTTGGTTGGGACGCTATGAGTTCATTTGGAAAATGGACGTTGGGGCAGAGTCTTAGGTACATTGCACATCCCCAGGAGGACGGATAACCCCAGGGGGGTGCGGGGGGGCGGCGACGGCGACAGCATAGCCGCCAGTTCGGCACGCAAGTCCAGACAACGGGCGGCGACGAGGCGGCGAAGAGGCGGCGACGGCGACAACACAGCCGCCAGACCAGCCCGCAGGCCCAGACGACGGGCGGCGACAAGGCGGCGACGGGGCGGCGACGGCGACAACATAGCCGCCAGACCAGCACGCAGGCACAGTTCCTTACAAAAGAAGTTATAACCTCTAATATCGAACAGTCTTAGGGGAAACCTGGGTTCACATCCTGTCCTACCTTTTCCTTCTCCATCATACTCCTGCTCCCCTCTTCCACCTCCTGACTCATGACCCCCTTCGTCCCCGCACTCCTTCTTCTCCTCACCATCGTCCTCTCTACTCATTCCTCCGTATATCAGATTCTCTTCTCTCATCGTGGGAAGGCCTTGCGGCCGGTGCCGCCGACCCTGAAGGGGGACGACCACGACGGCGTCGGCGGCGGCGACGACGACGCTGACATGGGGCAGGGTCCTCAGTGATGCTTCTTGGGGCCCCTTCGGAAAGCGCTCGTAGGCCTATGGGGGCAGTTTGGGGGCCTCTTGGGAGCATCTTGGGGTCCTCTTGGGAGCCTCTGGGGGTCCTTTCGAGCTTCCTGGAGGCTTCTTGGGGACCTCTTGGGGGCCTGCTGGGAGCTTCTCGGGGCCGAGGGCTCGTTCGCTCGGGTTCCCGCGTGTGTGTGTGAGAGAGAGAGAGTGTGTGTGTGTGTACCATTTTAGACATTTTGGTGGGCTCTTGGGCCGCCTGAGAGGCCTCTGGGGCCCTCTTGGGTTGTTTGGGGGCCGTCTTGGAATTTTCTTGAGGGCCTTTTGAGCCGATCTTGGTTGCATCTTGGGCCGTCTTCTGGCGTCGGGAAGCCGAAAAGGCGAGAACGCCAGAATCCTTCAAAAGCCAAAACAGTTATTCAATTTTGCCTGTTGGGGCCCTCTTGGTGTGCTCTTGGAGTCCCCCTCGAGCGTTTTGGAAGCCGCTTGGGCTGTCAGGAGACCATCTTTGGCGTCTTGGACTGATCGTTCGGCGATTCGGGGCCATCTTGGACGGTCTTGTGGACCTCTTGGGCTGTCTGAAGGCTTTTCTGGTGCCCTGGACCCACCAGGGGAGGATGGTATTCTGACCCTGGGACCCCCCCCAGACCCCCTGGGGGGGAAGGGGGGAAGGGATCCAAGGGAAGGGGCTTCCCTTCGACTCAACTGCGACGTGGCTGAGCTTCGCTTTGGTTTCGCTTTGCGCTGGCTCGCTTGAAGATGAGGGCCCGGTGAAAGGGGTGGGAGCGGCGACGGGCCCAGAGAAAGGGGGTCAAACGCGAAGGCGACGACGACAAAGCTGAGTAAAACAGAATTGCATCTTCCACACGCCGACAGCGTCGGTGGATTTGTTGTTCATGTGCTTCCTTCCTTCACCCCTCGCCCTCTCCTGCTCCTCCTTTTCACTGTCCCGTTTGTTGCCTCCCTCTTCTTCCCCTCTTCGCCCTTCTTTCCCTTCCAGGTGGTGAGCTCCCCGGCGGGTTCGTCGGAGTCCCCAGATCAGCCGACGCAGCAGAAGGAGATTCCGGGCAGAAGCAGGGCTGGCCCCACCGCTGAGCGCCGCCGTTCATCGATCTCGGACCGTGGTTGGGTGGCCAGTCTCTGATGGTCATGGGGGCCCAGGCGCTAACCGAGCTGACCCCTCAGAGGCCAAAACAATTAGCGTCTGTTGAGTCTAGGGCCATTCGGATCGATCCCAGGCCCCCAACCAGTTTGCTTGGCTGTTCGCAGACCCCCTCTGAACAATATATTGTAGCTAACCCGCCGCAGCTCGGAAGAGAAGGAGGAGGGGATCCGTGCCTGTTCAGTTCGCGGCAGCTCGGCCGTGTGCAGCGAGACAGTCGAAACCAGCACCGCCGCAACAGACGCGCAATGATGAGTACGAGCAAGACGAAGTAGTAGTAGTAGTAGTGGTAGTAGTAGTAGTAGTAGTAGTAGTAGTAGTAGTAGTAGTAGTAGTAGTAGTAGTAGTAGTGGTAGCAGTGGTAGCAGTAGTAGTAGAAGTAGTAGTAGTCGTCGTCGTCGTCGTCGTAGTAGTAGTAGTAGTAGTAGTAGTAGGAGTAAGAGTAAGAGTAAGAGTAAGAGTAAGAGTAAGAGTAAGAGTAGTAGTAGTAGTAGTAGTAGTAGTAGTAGTAGTAGTAGTAGTAGTAGTAGTAGTAGTAGTAGTAGTAGTAGTAGTAGTAGTAGTAGTAGTAGTAGTAGTAGTAGTAGTAGTAGTAGTAGTAGTAGTAGTAGTAGTAGTAGTAGTAGTAGTAGTTATAGTAGTAGTCGTAGTAGTAGTAGTAGTAGTAGTAGTAGTAGTAGTACTAGTAGTAGTAGTAGTAGTAGTAGTAG